ACAAGAATCATGCTCAAAGGACTGAATGCTGTCACAAAAACAGGCCCTTTTGTTTGCATCACTACTCCTTGAATGTAATAAGTCACTCCTGTACATATTACTCCCTGTAACCAAACATTACTGTTATTAGTGTGACATCCCACGTCGGTTGTTGTGGAAACCTCTCTCTAATAGACGCATTTTAAAGCCTTGAGGGGAAGCCCGAAAGAGAAAACCCAAGAAGAACAATATCTGTTAGTGGTGGACTTGGACCGTTACGGACAAAAATGAATACTTACAGCATAAACAACAGCCAGAAGCTGACTGTCAAAGTGAAAAACCCAAGCAGCAGGGTTCCCCCTCTCAATGATCAAAGCCACCCCAGACCCTCCAATGGTGCCCACCAAGCATATCAATGCCGTAAGCGACAGCTCGACCGGGTACTCTTTCAATGTAATCGCCTAACGCCATCGACATCGAGTTAACATCATCAGCAACTCTAAGCTCCAAAAACCAAAAAAGAAGCCATTTCTTACCTGAAGAGTGATGAAAGCTGACCAGCAAATGCAGCCAGTTGCTATCATGAGTGAGCCCTTAAGTGGGCTCTGGTGAGTTGCAGAGCCACCAGAAGAAGCAGAGGGCTGGCTCCCTTTTGTCCATGGCAGATTCAACATTGGCCCTCTTATGAACGTCATAATCATAGCTCCTCCTACTGTCACTATGGTTCCTAGGATCTTCGCTTGGCTTCCCCTTTTCAAAATACTCACTTTCTCAAGCCTGCCATACAAATATTCATACCATGTTGGGTGACCAAACCAAAATGGGCTTAAAAGCTTTCATGCACAAAATTTGAAGTACCTGCAAGCCCAAGCCATGAGGAAAGAAAAAGCTGGTAGAATATTGCACATGGCTGCGGTAAACGCTGCTGTTGTGAGCTTCATACCAGTAAAGTACAAGTTTTGATCGATCACTGGCCTGAAATTCACAAACCCATTTAAGAACATGAATAAAAGATTAAATTTTTCACATTCTTTTTGGTATTGAGTAAAGAATCATTCTTACTCCAATAAACCCATCAACACAATCTTCCATAATATCGAAAAAGTCATCTTCGTCCTCGCCTTCCTGCATGCAAATTTGAATATTATCGTCATTTCATAACCATTAAATGTCGAGAATTGTTGTGAGGGAGTCCCACTTTAGAGGATGATTATGGGTTTATAGCCTTTTTGAGCTTATGCTCCAAGTGGACAATATCATACCAGTGTAGAGAGAGTCGTAATTCCTATCATTAAATACGTACCCAAAAATGAAAAACTAGTGGCTAGACGATCGAGAATGATGTAGAACCTGTCAAAGATGATGGCAAAAGGAGCAATGACAAGAGTAGCAACAGCATGACGATAAACCACAAAGACATGTGGGCTCATGCCTTTGTCCAAGGCAGACTTAGCAAGAATGGTCATTCCAGCATAGCCAAACTGCACAAAAACGACCACTAAATATGGCTTAGCCAATTCAAAAAGCCTCCCAAAACCCTCCATTTCAAAACCCTTTTGTGTATCTCTTGTTGTGTTGCTCAGCTGAGTTCATATGAAAAGCTGAAGTAAATGTGGTTTATATAGAAGGGTTTTTGATGGCGGAATAAGCAAAGTCTAGGGTCTCCACTAAGCTCAACACATACACACACACACATAAGAGGAGAAGCAAATTCGTTAAAGGATTCATAAACAATTAGTACACAATTGGAAGAGAAGATGGTTTCCACATGTGTAAAGTGAAGTATCACCAATTTGCCTTCTTTCAGAAGTGATGCCACACAGCTCATAGTTTATACATCTCTTAATGCTTCATTTTATCTATCTTCTACCGTTTTCTTTATTTTAATATCACGTACGAGTGATATTTACTATTTATATCAATAAGATTCATTTTTTTTTCGAACAACTACAAGAACTTTAAGTTAATCGTGTTTAATATGAAGCAATTCTGTGAGATCTCATATCAGTTGGAGAAGGGAACGAAACATTCTTTATAAAGGTGTGAAAACTTCTTTCTAGCATGTGCGCTTTCAAACCGTGAGAGTGATGACGATACGTAATGGGTCAAAGTGGACAATATTTGCTATTGGTGGACTTCGACGGTTACAAATGATATCAGAGTCAGACACCGGGCGGTGTGTTAATGATGACGCTAGACCCCTAAAAGGGTGGATTGTGATATCCCACATCGGTTGGAGAGGGGAACGAAACATTCCTTATAAGGGCGTGTAAACCTTTTCCTAGCATATGTGTTTTAAAATCGTGAGGTTGACGACGATTCGTAACGGGCCAAACCGGATAATATCTTCTAGTGGTGGACTTGGCTGTCACAAATGGTATCAGAGCCATACATGGAGGGTGTGTTAACGAGGACGCTAGGCCTCCAAGAGGGTGGATAGTGATGTTCCACGTCAGTTGGAGAGGAGAACAAAACATTTCTTATAAGTTCGATAACTTCTTAAGAAAATTTCCAAGAAACATACGAGTGAGGACAAACTATGCTAAAATGTAGTAGTTTGTGGGGATAGTCGAGGCTATCAAATGTCAACGTATCCAACAATCTAGTATTCTTATGCATGAAAATGTTCCGTTCGGCTGTTGTGGTTGGACTCTATTATGGATTTCTGACCATATTCTCCATAGAGCCCTCTTATCTCTCCCTTCTTCGAGCTCGGGTTATGGGTGTATTCATTTTACAAAAATGTCCTCCGAATTCCAAATTTTTGATATGATCGATGATTCTAATTTGATTTTTTTTTTTTTTTCATATTTGTAGTTGTCCATACGTGACCATCACTTTGTTATTTGCCTTAAAAAATAGATTAGGAGCGTTTGTGGTACGAAAACCATCATATTATTGTCATAATAATTGGAAAAATCCAAAAATAAAATAAATAAAAAATAATTGAATGAACGTCCAAAAACATGGCTTTAAAAGAGTGGAAATTTACGTATACACATTTTACTAATTTTTTTCTATTTTTAAATAATTAAAAAAAAAAAAAAAAAAAAAACTACGGACCTTTTTCCAAGCATTATAATTTATATAGACACAATAATTAACATTACAAACTCTTTAATTTATTTCACAAAGTCGATTCTCCACGTAAACGTTACAAACGATCGTTTCATTATTTAAAGTATTTACAAATTTTCGAACCCAACCCAGTTTGTAACCGTTCAAGTCCACCGTTAGTAGATATTGTCCGTTTTTGCCCGTTACGTATCACCGTCAACCTCACGATTTTAAAACGCATGTGTTAGAGAGAGGTTTTCATATTCACCTCTTTAAACAACTTGAGATCTGTCGTAAATTGATAGACACGGATGACAATAATAGAAACTAAAGTTGTAGGGATGGCATGATGATGGAGATTAGATATCTACCCTTGGTACCTAAATGCTATCCACATCACAAATCACAAGGCCACAGATGAGAAACTGAGCACTTTTGGAAGCAAATCCAATTCTAATACGACACTTAATGGTATCATTATGAATATTAAAACAATACACAATTTTTGCTAGTTTTTGATGCCACGGATTATCATAAAAGAATGAGTTTGTGGGTTTGGGACACAAATTAGTAGCAGAGTTGTTTGTCTACTCAGCTTAAATAATTGCCTTTGTTTCGATGGATATCCATCTAAGATCTTCAATTCACCTATTCCTTTTCTTTTTCTTCGAAAGTTCTACGTTTTCACTCTTGGTTTAACTTATAGACGTGTAAGAATGTCGATGAAGATCTGTCGACATGACAGCTGATATTCAATCTATTTGATTTTGATGAGTGTCGAAAGTGAGGGGAGAGAATGGTATTTTGAGTCGTCTTCTTTTTAATACAACAAAATTGGGCTACGTTGAGCTATGTTTGACTGTGTTTTGGATCATGTACTCATCTTTATTCAAACCTATTTTGAGAGATCGAGACACTCGGGCATGCTTTTCTCGTGATAATTGAGGATTTAGGGTTTAACCCATTTCTTCTTCCTCTACACCAACGCAACTTTCCTAAACCCTAAACCCTAAACCAGTGCTCTTCGTTTTTCCAAAATCAGTGCTCTTTAAGGCTGGAGTTAACAACATAGCCCTGCTAGGCACATTAGCCGGACTTCCTGCATGTAGAATACAACTCTCTGTATGTTTAATTCTCTTTTAGAAAATGTAAGCACAAGTTCTTCTTTTGTCAACAGAGGAGAGTGGAGCATACATGAAACACAGATTTGCAGGACCTCGATCCATAACCATCTTTGGTTTGAATACTCGAATGCTTGATGTTTCTAAAAATGGCTCGGGCCACTGGGTAGGATTACACAAGCCCCTCCGCCCCTCCATACTTGATGAAGCTTGCTTAATGAATTGTTCTACTCGTTTCTCTTCATATCATCACTGACAGGTTTCACATCATAGGTGATGGTTTTGGGAGTTTGTTTACGGCTCTATGCGACTTAAAATTCTCTCAAAGCTATGAAATAGATATAAAGTAAGGTTAGTCCATTGGAACCTTTTTGTAGATAGAACTTGAAAAACTATTCAGTACTAGAAGTCGCAGTGGCACAAGAAATGTGAAAACTCCTACAGCAATGGTTTAAACAATCTTTTTTATTCTATGAAATTACTGAATACTCATTTTGTAATGTAAATAGATAAAAAGTTTCAATTGGGATGAAAAATTATAATATTTAATCTGAAATGAAGTAATTCAGGTGTATATTTAGTTAAAAATGAATATGGAGTAAATTTTTTTTTTATCAAAATATAATTAATAAAATGATATTTAAATAATAAAATGATCGAATAGCATTATAGCATACAATTAAAACTATGAATACTATATTATAGCGTTAAAAAAATGCTATAATAAGTTAAAAGATAGCATAATATTTTAGCTTTAATAAAGTGCTATAAAATATTTTTATAACAATGTATATAAGCTATAGTTTTATACTCTATTATAGCTATAAAAAAAACGCTATAAAAAGTAGACTTTTGATAATATGGGCTGTCATGACATACTAAAAACGTTATCAAAAGTCTATGGTAACTTATTTCTTGTAGTGTGGGATTTAGTTGTATAAACGCCGTACAAATCATAATATTTAAAAATTATGTCGAGTATCTTTACTTTTATTTGATTACTCGACCAATTCAAACCATTTCAATTACTTTTTACAAGGTTCACAAAGCTTCTTAAAATTTCTATTTCTATCGACATTTCCATAAAATTTAGACCTCGACATTTTTATACCTTTCTACACGTGCTCATACAATATATTGTAGGACGATTACAGGTAGGTCGAGTTCATCAATGTTTCTCCTCTTGGGCAAGATGAAGCACCACAAATTCTTCATTTGATTGAACCATCTTCAAAGACTCATCCTTTCCGATCATTTTTTGCTCACAAGGAGATATCTTATCACACTCAGATTTAGCTGAATCATGATCATCTTTGCTTTTGCCCCACAGAACCAAATACAAGCCACTGATAATGACCACTGCTCCAAGAACCCTGCAAAACAGTTCAAAGGCTTTAGCTTGAGCTGTTTCAAACATGAAGGCTTTTGGAACATGATTGTTCTTACCTGCCCAACAACATCATCTCACCCAATATGAAGGAGCTCATGACTGCAACAAGAACCATGCCCAGAGGACTGAATGCTGTCACAAAAACAGGCCCTTTTGTTTGCATCACTACTCCTTGAAGGTAATAAGTCACCCCTGTACATACTACTCCCTGCAACCAAACATTACTGCTATTACTGTGACATCCTATGTCGGTTGTTGTGGAAACGTCTCCCTAGTAGCATGTTTTAAAGTTTTGAGAGGAAGCCCGAAAGAGAAAGTCTAAAGAGGACAATATCTGCTGGTGGTGGACTTGAACCGTTACAGTTAGTAAAGAAAAAATTAGGGAAAGCCCGAAAGAGAAAGCCCAAAGAAGACAATATCTGTTAATGGTGGACTTGGACCGTTACAGCTAGTGAAGAAAAAATGAGGGAAAGCCCGAAAGAGAAAGACTAAAGAGGACAATATTCGTTAGTGGTGAACTTGAACCGTTATAGTTAGTGAAGAAAATATGAGGGGAAACTCGAAAGAGAAAGCTCAAAGAGGCCAAATTTATTAGTGGTGGACTTGGACCGTTATAGTTACTGAAGTAAAAAAAGGGACCAAAATAAATACTTACGGAATAAACAACAGCCAGAAGCTGACTGTCAAAGTGCAAAACCCAAGCAGCAGGGTTCCCCCTCTCAATGATCCAAGCCACCCCAGACCCTCCAATGGTGCCCACCAAACATATCAATGCCGTAAGCGACAGCTCGGCCGGGTAATCTTTCAATGTAATCGCCTAACGCCATCGACATCGAGTTAACATCATCAGCAACTCTAAGCTCCAAAAACCAAAAAAGAAGCCATTTCTTACCTGAAGAGTGATGAAAGCTGACCAGCAAATGCAGCCAGTTGCTATCATGAGTGAGCCCTTAAGTGGGCTCTGGTGAGTTGCAGAGCCACCAGAAGAAGCAGAGGGCTGGCTCCCTTTTGTCCATGGCAGATTCAACATTGGCCCTCTTATGAACGTCATAATCATAGCTCCTCCTACTGTCACTATGGTTCCTAGGATCTTCGCTTGGCTTCCCCTTTTCAAAATACTCACTTTCTCAAGCCTGCCATACAAATATTCATACCATGTTGGGTGACCAAACCAAAATGGGCTTAAAAGCTTTCATGCACAAAATTTGAAGTACCTGCAAGCCCAAGCCATGAGGAAAGAAAAAGCTGGTAGAATATTGCCCATGGCAGCTGAAAAGGTTGCTGTTGTGAGCTTCATACCAGTAGTGTACAAGTTTTGATCGATCACTGGCCTGAAATCCACAAACCCATTTAAGAACATGAACAAAAGATTAAATTTGTCACATTTTAATTGGTATTGAGTAAACAATCATTCTTACTCCAATAAACCCATCAACACAATCTTGCAGAGTATTGAAAAGGTCATCTTGGTCCTCGCCTTCCTGCATGCAAAACTAAGAACTCAACCTTCTATATGGAGGCAGAGGAAGTAGCTAGTTCGTGGAGAGTAATGAAAGGACCTGTCAAAGATAATGGCAAAAGGAGCAATGACAAGAGTAGCAACAGCATAACGATAAACCACAAACACATGTGGGCTCATGCCTTTGTCCAAGGCAGACTTAACAAGAATGGTCATTCCAGCATAACCAAACTGCACAAAAATGACCATCAAATATGGCTTAGCCAATCCAAAAAGCCTTCCAAAACGCTCCATTTCAAACCCTTTTGTGTATCTCTTGTTGTGTTCTTCAGCCTTTTGTGGTTGAATTCATGTGAAAAGCTGAAGTAAATGTGGTTTTTATAGAAGGGTCTCCACTAAGCTCAACACACACACACACACACACAAGAGGCGAAGCAAGTTCGTTGAAGGATTCATAAAAAATTAGGACACAATTGGAAGAAAGGTTTCCAGATGTGTAAAGTGAAGTGCCACTAATTTGCCTTCTTTCGAAAGTGATGTCCATCACAAATACAAAACAAAACCACACAAAACTTCAACCAAAGGAAAACAAAACCACACAAAACTTCGACCACAGGACAGAATCGATAGCTACTACCTATATTAATAAGATTCATCTTCTTTTTCTTTGATACTCGTAAGACACTTAAAGTCAACCATGTTTAATTTGGAGCAATACTGTGAGATCCCATGTCGATTTGAGAGGGAAACGAAACATTCTTTAGAAAGGTATGGAAATCTCTCCGTAACAGACGTGTTTCAAAATCGTGGGTTGACGGTGATACGTAATGGACCAAAGCGAACAATATCTGCTAGTGGTGGACTTGCGCGGTTACAAATAATATCAGAGCCAGACACCGGGCGGTGTGCCAGCGAGGACGTTAGGCCCCTTAAAAGGGGTGAATTGTGAGATCCCACGTCGGTTGGAGAGGGGAATGAAATATTCCTTAGAAATGTGTGGAAACCTCTCCCTAACAGACGTGTTTTAAAACCGTGAGGTTGACGACGATACGTAATGGGCCAAAGCGAACAATATCTGCTAGTGGTGAACTTGCGCTGTTATAAATGGTATCAGAGCTAGACACTGAGCGGTGTGCCAGCGAAGACGTTAGACCCTTAAGAGGGGTGAGTTGTGAGATCCTACATTGGTTAGAGATGGGAAATAAATATTCCTTAGAAGGGTGTTGAAATCTCTCCCTAACAAACGCGTTTCAAAACCGTGAGGTTGACGGCGATACATAATGGGCCGAAGCAAATAATATCTGCTAGCGGTAGACTTGTGCAGTTACAAATGGTATTAGAGCCAGACATCGGGCAGTGTTCCAGCGAGGACGTGACCCTTTAAGAGGGATGAGTTGTGAGATCCCATCTCGATTGGAGAGGAGAAAGAAATATAACTTTAAAGGGTGTGGAAATCTCTCCCTGACATACTCGTTTCAAAATCGTGAGGTTGACGGTGATACGTAATGGGCCAAAGCAAACAACATCTGCTAGCCATAAACTTGTGCTGTTACAAATGGTATCTTATTTTCTATGGAGCTCACTTATCTCTTCTTTCTCCGAGCTCGAGTTATGGATATATTCATTTTACAAAAATGTCCTCCGTATCCGAACAATGATTCTAATTTGATATATATATATTTATACGAAAAAACCACATATTTTTAGGTGTCCAAAAATGGCTTTTAAAGAGTGCAAATTTACGTACACACATTTTTTTGTGTCCCTTTCCTTTTAAATCCCAATTTTTGTTAACTATCTTTTTTTCCATTATTAATAATAAAAAAAAAACTATGTATTGAACCGAATAAGATATTTTCTTTACGGTATAATTATACATAATAATTTTCTTTTATTCCCTTCCCTAAAAATAATTTTTAACTATTTCGAGATATTGAGTTGTAATTCTTAATTAAAAGTTTTAAAGAAATAAATAGATGTTTTATAAGTTAATATTTTATTTTTATTAAAAAAAATTTAAATAGATGACTCAGTCTATCTGAATCAACCCAACTCAAAAAATTTATGGTTGGGTTAAGTTGATTTGACCTAAAAACAAAATTTTAGATAAATGACTCCAACAATCTGGACCAACGAAACTCAAAAAAAATATTATGATTGGGTTAGGTCATTATTGAATAAAGATGGTTTAGATTGAAAAATTTAAAACTCGGAACAATTGAGTTAGAATTATAAAATGTCTCAACTCGACTCAATCAAGCTCACCGTTAGCAGATATTATTCGCTTTGCTCTGTTATGTATCGTCGTCAGCCTCATAATTTTAGAACATATATGTTAGGGAGAGATTTGTACGTGCTTATAAGAAAAGTTTTGTTTCTCTCTCCAACAGATGTGAAATTTCACACGACCCATAAACACCGACAACCCATGAGCACCAACAATAATACAAAACTAAAGTTGTAATTATGGCATGATGAGGTTTGAGTGCATAAACTGTGGCTGAAGATTAGTTTTAGATATCTACGCTTTGTTGTTAAATGCTATCCACCTCACAAATCACAAGCCACAAGTTAGCGGCAGTGGTTAAATGCTATCCACCTCACCAATCATAAAATATGTTGATTGGAGCGCCGTTGTTTGTGTTTAGTACTGTTATTTGCTAGTAGATATTGTCTTTTTTGAGCATCTCTCTCTAATCAATGTAGGATTTCACACCTATTTTGGATCGTCTTTTTTTTAATACAACAAATATGGGATACGTTAGTTATGTTTATTTTGACGGTGTTTTGGATCATGTACTCATCTTTATTCAAATCTATTTTGAGAGATTGAGACACTCGGGCATGCTTTACTCGTAGTAATTGAGGATTATTTAGTTCTAAAACCTAAGTTTACGGTTTAAAAAATTATGTGTTCGTTGTTTTCTTTCGTTATTTCATTTCAATTTATAATTGTAACGTTTATTTCAATGAAGTGTTTTTCTATTTTAGAGCTAGGAATCATTTTTAAAACGGTTACGAAGAATCAAGGACAATATTGTAATCTTTCAAATGCTAGGGTTCGAGATTACGGCTTGTTTAAAAAGTAATATGTTTATGAAGGGTCAAGGGTAATATTGTAATTTTTTGAACGTTAGGGTTCGAGATTACGACTCACTAAAAAAGTAAGATATTGTCCATTTTGATCCGTTACACATAGTCGTTAAGCCTCACAGTTTTGAAACACATCTGTTAGGGAGAAGTTTCCACGCACTTATAATAAATGTTTGGTTCTCCACTCCATGGAGGTGGGACCTTACACTTATCTTATCATCTTAAATAGGCATTTCTATTACATGCTCAATTTTTTTATAAAAAAATAAAAATAATAATAAATAAAATAAAAATATAACTATCATTTAAAAAAAAAATTAAACTCATTGTTAAGTAATAATTTAATTAAACGTATAAATAATAATTATCATTTATTTGAGCAATAATTCAACTTTTTAAAAGCCAGAAACAATTATTAAGGCATCAAAAATAAATTTTCATTTGATTAATTATTTTATTTTATTTGATTTTTACCATCAACCAAATCCAATCATATGAACTATAAAAGTATTTGATTTTTATTTTATTTTGCTTAAAAAGGTAATTTAATGTAGATTTTTAGACATCTAAAATAAAGAAAATATCCCATATTATTATATATTAAAAATGGGTCCTTCACATCATTTACTTCAATTTCTAACCCCAAGGTGGAGATTTAGTGCATAAACTTATGGCTTAAGATTTGGGACACAAAAATAAATTAATATTATTCATTCCAAAATGCTATACATGTCACAAACCATGAGGGCCACAAATTAAAAATTAATGCTATAATTATCATCATATTAATCCTAAAACAATGTTTTTTTGTTTTGTTTTTTGTTTGTTTTTTTGGACAAGAGATGGAGTCTCCATTTCACAAAATATGATAAAATATTTTAGTCTTCCTATTATTTTGGCGATTGAGTGTCTACTCAAACAAAAAATAATATATTATTTTAAAAATTCAAGGATTAAAATAAACATTTTAAAATTTAAATGCTAAAATAGAATAATTTTTTAAAAAAAAAAAAAAACTCGAATAGTAAAACAGATTTTTTAAAAATTTAGAGATGAAAACAAATTAATCTGGAAAATTAAATGATAATCAATATTTAATAAGAGTTAAACTTTGTTTTGTAGAGAAAAATTGGGAAATTTTGCCCAACCCATTTTTGTTATATAATAATGTATGCTACAAAATATAATAAATAATAATTAATATAAAAAGATTACTTTCGATATTGATTGGTTAACTTTTATTAGTAGTTTTCCACTATACTAAATATTAACATATAAATAACTTCCAACGTACGTGGCATACTATAATTAATATTTAAAAAATAATAATTAAAATAAAATAGAATATTTTCTTTGGTAAATCATCCGTCATAAAAGTGAACTCTTTCGAGGTGATGTCATTCTCACTTAAATTCACCTACTCTCTTACTCTTTTACTTTTGTTTCTTTTACTTTTGTTTCTTTTACTTTTGTTAAAAAGGTTGGATGTCAATAAAGAAATTGCCAATATTATAATAATATCATATTTTTTAAATTCATATCCATAAACTTTTAGATTAGCTATTTTCGGGACTACTTACTATTCTCACAAATATCAGACTCATGCGGCTACGTTTACGTTTGACTCCCAACAGTAGCTCATAGTATATTAAATCTTAGACATGTGACCTCCACAATTTGAATTTAATTCCTTTAAGCTCGACCCGTGATGGTTTATAGTAATACGAATTCAATCAACAAACATGCGATAAAACAAAGTTTAGTAGATTCAAGAATCACCCTGATATCGTACGCATAACCCTGAAGTGTCGATTTTCAATTAATAAATGAGATTTAGAAGAATTTCTTCCGAGAGAAACAAGACACGAATACATATTTGAAAGAGTTTAGAATGAGATCACATTTGTCCATGAGCTTAACTGCTCCCACGTCGATCACTTGGGAAGAAAAAGGAAAATCAAAGATTACGTTCATTGGTGAGTGGATAGTCTGTATGCAATTATTGAGCACACTATACCCAACCAACCACAAAAGCTATCTTGACATATCAACATCCAACTCAATTCAAAACTGGTCTTAGGAGATGAGCAGGGTATCTCATTCCAAGCAAAAAAAAAATGAATAGGTAGGAGGAAAGAGAAGCATTACCAGTACTACCAGTAATGGCATGTTCTTGACGGGATTATTCAGGAGAAAGCTCGATGGTTCAGCAAAGAAGAGTGATGGGTTCAGATGGAGAAACTTCAGGAACTCTTGATGAGCTCAGGCTGC